TGAGGTCTTAATGCTTACAACCATGCATTTGTGTTGGGACCAGATATGATCTTAATTTATGCATTGGAAGTCACCCATCGAGATGTGCTTGTTATGAACCAAAGTGGGGGATGTGTCCAAATAACATCTTGGCCGGCACATGTCCTGCATCAAGAATCAGGTGAACCAAAGGCCCTATCCATCGCGTGGGGTTAACTCAATAATTAAGATTATAATAATCAGACAAGGCTTTGGGCATTTAATGACTACACCTCATGAATCCCAAGGATTGGATCCGTGTTACTGTACTAAACCCTCCTATAACTGGTGTTCAGAATAACACTTCACAGTCTCCTTGCCCTTAGCCTCTTTGTGGCTTGCTCTCCATGATCCTGGGTACCTGGAGGGATGAAGAACGCAAACCAAAGAAGAGACATCTATGCAAAACTTCTATTTCACATATTGGAGTTGTTAATTCAAAGCACTTCCATTGATCCCCACAACAAATACAGAGGGTTACAAGGCCTTTATCTCAACCCATACCTTACCAAACTATTCACACATGGAGATCAGACCGCATGAAGAACATATTGAAGAACATATCATGGAGATTGATTGATAATATGTCTTACAATGGATGCCTTGTGCGATGCACGATTACAAGTATGATCTAAAGAGGAAGCACTATGGTGGTGATGGTGCTATGTAGATGGAAATGGCAGCGACTAGGGTTTGTGAAGAGGGATGAAGATGACTCTGTTCTGGCTTCGCTCGCGAACGTTCTGTTGACATTTCGGTGTGGTCCCCTTTATACAAGTTTTTCAGGTGGACAAGGAGCCTCAGAATCCACACCATATGACCGCTCATGCGAGCGGTCGCGGTCATATGAAACATCGTCTTTTGCTCGATGGCTTCCAGTGCGCCTCCTCCCGATTTCTCCTTATTCCTCGTTTACTTCTTTCCATGTTCTCACTTGATTTCGTCCATATCTTACCCATTTCCTATGGAAACACATTAGAGAGAGAATTTTTGGAATCCTTTCATTCATTAGTCATTAGTAGCAATATCAGAGCGAATATCTCACTTTTAATGAAATATATCGGTTTAAACAAAGGGTAAATGAGTTTAAAAATATCACTCATTATGTACCCCTCACCCCCTATATAAAAGAGAGGGGAGGGACTGGTCGCCACCACCCAAAGCCCAAGCGCCACCCTCTCTTTCTCCTTCTACTTCCTCCACCGTAGCTGCTTTGCGAAGCCCTGCAGAAAATCCTCCACCACCACCACACCGTCTGCTGGCCTAGATCCCATCTACCTCTCTCCATCTCGCTTGCTGGATCAAGGAGGATACGCCACCGAGCCGCACATGTGCATAACTCAGAGGTGCCATTCGTGCGGCGCTCAATTGGATTAGATTGTGAAGCGTACGACTACATCAACCATGTTCGTTGAATGTTGTCGCTTTCGGTCTACAAGGGTATGTAGACACACTCCCACTCATTGATAGCATCTCCTAGATTAGATCTTGGGTGAATTCGTAGGAAAAAAATTCATGCAACAATTGCCTCCATACTTCAAAGAAATCTTACACGTCAGTGAACATGTTGGGCCGGGAGTGCAGAGGCCAGCTCAGCTTGCGGGTTTACGTGAAGCGGTAGACCTATGTAATTTCGTTGATCTGGGATACAAGGGCAGAGGTTGGACTTTTGAGACAAAAGTCGTGGGAGGTCCGCATTGCGAGTTAAATCCACAGAACCACCACATTTATGTCATGATTAGCCAAAACAACCACTTTACGTTTGATGGCAGACAACACCGAACCAAAAATCTGACAGTGGCAAAAAATAGTAAAAAATAAGCTTGTTTTGACATGGCAAAGTGGCCGCGTGGCTAATGGTGGACAGTGCAAGCAGTAACGGCCGTTAACGATCAGACCGGTCGAGCCGATCGGTCGGTCATCAAAAAGGAAACAATGCTCCTCTTCTCACTCTTGCTCGCTCTCACTCTCCCTCCCTTGCACTTGCTCTCGCTCCCCTCTGCGCGGGCGCCGCTCAACCTCGTCGTCATCGCCCCCTCAATGGCTTCTTGGTTAGATCTGGAGGACAACAGCGAGGAGGAGGAGTTGACCTACACTGGCATGGACCTGGATGTGTTGGTATGTAATCTACACTGGTTTCAGTGAGGGTTAGGGTTAGGGTTAGGGTTTGGATATTAGGATTTGCAGAGTCTCACATTTTAGATCCTCCCTTCTCTGTCTCTCCTCTGTGCCTAATGCTTCTTGTCAATGCAGGAGAATCCTGATACCACCATTCATGCTTCCTTCTGTGGGTCATGACTGCCCACAAATGAAATGCAAGCTTCACCAGTTTAGGGGCAAGAAATGTGTTGCATTTGATGGCATAACACGGGTAGACGATTATATGGTTGTGCTAAGCAGATAATATTTGATTTCCTTATTGTTTAATGAATGTGCTATGCAATTGAATGTGCTCTCGTGTTAAGTAGTTTACTGAATTCATTTTAACTCAATGTGGGTAGTAGTAGTAGTAGTAAACTGAACTTGCTACCGTTAACTGCATTTGCTACTGTTAACTGAATTTATTAGTGTAAACTGAATTACTAGTGTTAACTGAATTTGGTACCTTTAACTAAATTACTAGTGTTAACTAAACTTGCGCCCGTTAACTAAATTACAAGTGTTAATTGAATTTGCTACTGTTAACTGAATTTGCAATTGTTAACTGAAGTTGCTATAGTTAAATGAATTTGCTGCTGTTAACTGAACTTGCTACTATTAGACTACCCATAATGGGAGTAACATAAGTAATAGCATCACACATATCTAGATAAAATAGATGATGCGGCAAGCAATAAATGAAGAAAGAGAGCCATGTGGTAACATAGCTAGTTACTACTAGTATGAGTAACATCACACATATCAAGGCAAGATGAGTCTATAGTCTAATAAATGAAGTGCTGCATGTTACCACACATATGTTATTCCCCACTATAGAGGTAGTAACATAGAGTAGTAACATGCCCTCTATGTTACTATCCGTTGCGGCTAGTCTTAACTGAATTGCATGTGTAAATTAAATTTGCTACTCTTAATTGAATTGCACATTATTTTTCGCAAATCCATGTTCTTTGTGCCTAGCATTGCCATGACTAGGGTATGCGTATTTTTCATCTAAATTTTGGCTTTGGCTTGGATTCTTTGATGCGTTTAGAGGAGTATGATGTTGTGATTACCATAGGATCAGTATTGTATCATTATATTGGACTGAAAATTATTTTGTACATGTTCACGAGGAGGCCCACACGTGTCGCTCGCGGTGATGCACCGGGTTCATCTGCGAGTGCCGCACAACAAGTTTTCATATAGGGGATCGTCTTCACCGACCGCAAAGCAATGAGGAAATACAAGGCCTGGGGTAGGGACCGGTCTGTCACCACTGCTAAGAAGACGACGCTAGCTCGACGAGAGATCGCCAAGATCGGCGAGAAGTGGTCACCAAGCGACACCTCCGCCTTCGGTTGCATGGGCAAGGGCGCCGCCAAGGCACCACAGTCAGGGTCAGCATTGGCGGCGGTGGCCCTTCGCACCACAAAGGAGGAAGTAGAGTGACTCCTCCACAAGCACGAGGTAGCGGCCGGGCAAAGCTTTCGAGCCCTTTCGTTGTTGGAAGGACTACTCTAACTTCGACAACAATAGCACGAACAGCGACGGCGGTGCAGCCATCCAAGGCTACCACATGTACGAGGCCACCATCTGCTACAAGTTAGCCTCCTAGGGTTTTTTTTTTAACTTTTTGGTTAAACGGATAAAATATCGGCAAATTATGTCCAAATTTTAGTGAATTCCGTGGTGTTTGATGAAATCTGTCTGATTTAATCAAATTTGTTTTGAAGTGGATGCAGGCACAGTTGAATGGCTGACTCCAGTATGACACCATGTCGTTTAGGGGGGTGACCTTATCGTTTGGAAGCATGACCACGTGTATCTGTACATGAGCTGATGAACCTCGATCAGGGCAGATAGTGACAAATGCTAAGGCTGCGTTTTGGAGCATATTGCAGTGGATATAATTCTTTCTAAATACTTGAACTCTCTTTCCACATTTTGCCGTTTGGGGTTCAAAATAGCACCGTACCAGACAGAACAGATAAAAGAGCTGCATCCATTCTTTTTCTGTGGTTGGATTTATTCTGCAAACTACTCCCTCTGTAAAGAAATATAAGAGCGTTTATATTACTAAAGTAGTGCTGTAAACACTCTTATATTTCTTTAAGGATGGAGTAGTTAGAATATTTCCAACAGCAACTACCGTTTTTCACAGCTATTTTGCACTGCTTATAAATTTACATTGTACTGATTTAAAAGAGAATGAGCTCGACAAAGAAACGGAATTAGAAACTGGATGCTAGCAAAGCACCCTTGGCTATTACTCCCTCCGTCCGAAAAAACTTGTCCCCCAAATGGATCTATCTAACATCTAACATCAAGTTAGTGGTAAATACATCCATTTGAGGGACAAGGTTGGGACAAGTATTTTCGGACGGAGGGAGTACAACCCAAGACAACGATAAGATTAGCTGGCAGAGTTTCTTTAGAAACAGCAGAAAATTAACATGCACAAAACAAAGCATCGTTTAAGTGTCAATACAACATTAAACAGAATTGATCTTCAACGTTCTTCACTTGAAACAAATACAACATTAAACAGAATTGATCTTCAACGTTCTTCCCTTGAAACAAAACCTCGAGAGAGGTTCAATGATCCATTAAATAGGTAGGCATGAGTAGACAGACAAGCAAACACATCAGGCCAGAACAGCGCAAGATGCTTAGAGAGGTGCGTAAAAAATAAGCCAATTTCTCTTAAGCACCGTTGCTTATTTGTTGAGCACAGACACTTACTTAGACACCTCTGCTATAGAAACAAGCACCGGTACTTAAGGGAAAAAACAATTTATTTATACAAGCACTTCTCTAAACACCTTGCAGTGTACATGGTCTTATGAGGCATGTAAGCTCGCCTTAGGAGTAACTGGAACAAGACTTGGCGTGTAATAGAGTAGGTCGAACCAAAATAAATTTTCCCATGCATGTCCCAATGTGTCTTCACTAGGCCCAAGGAACCTTAGCTCATCGATATCGAACATGTCATTTTCTTTTACACCATGATCCTTCATGTAATAACGGAAGAGACAATGGCCTCTCCGTAGAAGAATCCCGCCATTGCTAAGTGAGGCCATTGGCAAGCACTGGTCTGAAACATTCATTACATAGTGACATTCCCATTCCGGGACCAATATATCTCTTGTCATCCAGATCAATACTCGTTGCATACTCTTGCAGAAGAAAGTAGCGCATAGTTCCCCACCAAGCTCATGGATAACAATATCTTCATCTTCAACTGTAGGGTAGAGGTTGTTAAGCAACGGAGTGATGCCGAAAGTTTCGTCTTGAAGGCTGAAACGAAGCAGCCCCTGTGGGGAGCATGGCTGATTTTCCCTATCGATGAAATAGAATAGACACCCCTTGCAGTGTATGGCAGTTTGCGGACAAAGGATAAGGTACGGTGGATCCACCAAGGTTTCCCTCCAAGACCCCTCTCCGCAATTAATGGTGATGACCTCCATCCCCATTGCAACGGAATTGTAATCACATGAACGGAAGAAAGACCGTGCAACCTTATATGTGCCAGTGGAAACATCAAGGCCCAAACCAATGGGAAGGCATACGGGACGTTGCAACACGTTGTGATGACTCCTCAGCAGAGCAATGCCATCTCTAGTGGCCGGGTTGAAGACATAAGCATTGGTGTCTGTAGGGAGCAGCACCAACCCATCGCAGTGTGCCATCTGGGACACCAACCCAAACTCGCCAGCCGGGAAGTGCCTCCCATGAAGAAGCATTGCGCTACTACTATGACTCATTCCAACTTTTGTTGCTACTTTTGGCAAATCATCTTCTTGTAAAGACCACTGGAAGAAACGGATGTTGGTGGAAAAAATGCCTGAGGGATTGGAATCTAGATAAATCTGGGGGGTGATGAGGAAGGAAGACGGATTGTGATGTTGTTTCTGTTTGGAGCGTTGGAGGTGTGCACGAACAAAAACAGGTTGGGAGATAATGGTGTACCAGACCTTGCTAACCAACTTGAACCTAGCCAGCGACTCCACAGGCAGCCGGATTAAGATCTCCCACACCATCTCGTCCAACAATTCCTCGCCTGCAGGATGTCCAGACCTCTTCGTTTGCTTCCTCTGTGGCATCCTCCACTTCCTCTTTCTCGCATCATTAACCGTCTTTTGTGTAAAGGTATCATCAACCCTCTTCAAGTCCATGTAGCAACAAACAAAACAAAATATATACTTAGATTCGGCACTGGCTTTGCTGACACGAAAAAACACATATATACATAGTATATATATAAAAATTTTGCGTGTTCGATGGATGAATTCGAACACGGTCTACGCGGTCTGTTTAGGATCCTTCCCGGACACGGTCTCCGTCTTAGTATAGGAGCACACAAACTCACTCGATTTTTCTTTTTTATTGTAATAAACAAACGAATCCGTGAGATCTGAAAGCTCAAAGTGACTCAGATCCGGAAAAATGATTTGCTTCTCTCAAAGAAAACTACAGTGAAAATATAGAAGAACATTTAAGGTGTGGCGGAAATTACCGGAAGCCTGGTGTCGTCGCCCTCCAGGAGCCTGGACATGGCTGTAAGCAGATTCGAGAGGGTCTGCGCGTGGAGGCGCAGTTGCGGATAGCGGCGGCGTTTCCAGAGCGCTCCTCTCTTCGGCGCCCTTAGGGCCAGACCTGGCCAAACGGGCCGGCCCGGCCCAGCCCGTGCTAATCGTGCCTGGCCCGGCACGGCCCGCCGTGGCACGTTTAATAGCCGGGCCGTGCCGTGCCGGCCCACGGGCGTGGCTCTCTGGCCCAGGCACGGCCTGATTATTAAACGGGCCGGCCCGTGGCACGTTTAGCACGCTAGCCCATCTGATTTTTAGCCTGTTGGGCTGTATTTTAGGCCTATTGGGCTGTAATTTAGGTCATATATATTAAAAAATTCTGAAAAAAAATTAAACGGGCCGTGCCGTGCCGGCCCGCGTGCCCAGCCTTCAGGCTCAGGCATGGCCCATGGCGTGCCGCGTGCCGGGCCTAGCCCGTTTAGCTCGGGCTGTGCCGTTTCTGCGTGCTACCGGGTCGGCCCAGTTAGCACGGCCTGTTTGGCCAGCTATACTTAGGGCATCTCCAGCTGTTGGCCCCCAGAGGGCGTCTAAAAGCGTCGCCTGGGGGTGAGCCGGCGCAAAGAAAGGCCCTGGGGGCGAGTCGTCGCCCAGCCGTCGGCCCCCAGGGCCGCCCCCAGGCGAGTGTTTAAGAAAAAAGGGGCCGTTCGGCGAAGTTATGACAAAGAGTAGTTAAATTTAGGCTAAACATGGCGAATTTCGGCCAAATTCGCCCATTTTCGTTACATTAAGCTAATCTAAAAAAGAAAGGGGCTGAACTCGTCGCCGCCGTCGCCACCATCGTCGTCGTCGGCCTTCTCCTCCTTGACGCGGACGCCCCGGCTGGACCCGACGTCGCCATGGTGGACTGGCGGCGGCGCGTCGTCGTCGTCGTCGCTGTCGCATAGGACGACGACTCCATCTTCGTCGCGGCCGCGTCGGCGCTCCTCGAAGCGGCGCAGGGCGGCACGCTGGCGCTCCTTCGCCTTCTCCCGGCGCGCCTTCTCCATCGCAATGGAGTCTTGGCGCGCCCATTCTAGGGCCGTGTCGTCGTCGACGAACTCCGCCTTCACCGGCGCCAGCCCCGGCTCCGTCTTCACCGGCGCCAGCCCCGTCTCCGTCTTCGGCTTGACGAAGCGCGGAGGAGCCGACGAGGAGGAGGCGCGCCGGCCGCCCTCGTTGATGATGATGCCGGCGCTGCGAGTGCGCCGGCCGAGCGGCGACTCCGCGCGCAGGCTCGGCCTTGACGCCAAGCAGGGCCGGAGTGCCGGAGGAGTGCGACGAGGATCGGGAGGAGGAAGAGGAGGAGGAGGACCCGAACCGCCTTGGCGCCCATGGCCCGACGCGCCGGTGCGCCGCCGGGGGGTACGCCAACGGCGGGTCGTTGCCGCCCTCGAGGTGCATGAGCACGCCCTCGAGTGTGCGACCGGGGACGCCCTACCAGAGGTGGCGCCCCTCGCTGTTTTGCCGCCCGCCGACCACCGGCGCGCCGTTGGTGGACGCCAAACGCTGCTGCTGGCGGCGCTCGAAATACGCCGCCCAGGCCGCGTGGTTGTCGGCGGCGTACTGAGGGAGGGAGCGTTGGGCGTCGGTGAGGGACGCGCGCACGATCTCGACCTCCTCGGCGAAGTACTCCGGCTTCGCCGCGGCGTCGGGCAACGGGGGAATGGGCACTCCCCCGGCGCTGAGCCTCCACCCCGATGGCCCGGCGCGCATGTCCGGCGCCGCCGGGATGTTCGCCTGGAACAGGAGCCAGGACTCCAGAGCGCGGAGCGAACGGCGGCCGAAGCCGTTGGCCGCCGCCTCGTCTCCGGGGAAACGTTCTGCCATGGCGACGGCGCTCGGGAGAGGCAGGGAGAGGGAGGGGCTGGACGGCGGCGAGGGGCGGGCGGGGCTGGTGTGGGTACAGGATAGTGGAGTGGAGGCCGCCGGCTTTTATAGTCGGGCCGCGCCCGTGTGTACGCGTGCGAGGGAGTGGAGGCGTCGGCGCCGTCCCGTGAAGCGCCGCCCGTGAGGAATCAATGGCAAGGCTGACCGGCGGCAGCCTTGCCATTGATTCCCCGCGGAAACCGAGGCCGTTGGGGGGAGACGAGGCGCCGAGTCGCTGACGCGGCTGGCCCACGGCTTCTTCGCGCCAAAACAACTCGCCCCGGCGCCCCCGGGCGCCCCCTAGCGCGCCGGATTCGGGCTGGGTCCGCCGGCGCTGTTTTCGGCCCAAGCCGGCGAAAATCGGGCTCCTGGGGCGCGACTGGGCCGTTTTCTCGGCGCCGGCGCGAAAAAATCGCCTAGGGAGGCCTTCTTGGGGGCGCGGCTGGAGATGCCCTTATGCGCCAGTTGGCGCAGCAGCGCATAGGGCGCGTCTGCGTGGGCCTTGGCCCAGTTCCTTCGCACCGTCGCGGTTTTGGTTCGCTCGGCCATCGGAGATCCTATACGCTGCGCAGCGGCGAATCCTATTGGACGCCCGTGTGCGGAAAATCCTACTCGCCGCTCGTTGCGGCAAGCTGTCGCCGCTTGGGCCGGCCCATTTTAGCGTTTCATTCAGCCGGGTTTTTTCTGGTTTTGCGAACTTTTTAGAAGGTTCCTAAACCGGCCTTTTCTTTTTTAGTTTCTTTTTCTTTTTAGTTTTTTCTATTTCTCTTCTTTTTCGTTTTTCTTTTCTTTTTTCTGTTTCTTTCCTTTTTATGTTTCCTTTTTTGTTTTACTTTTTTTCTTTTTCAAGTTTATTTACAATTTTTTTTCGAATTTCAAAAGTTTTTCTTGTTTTTTAGATTTTGTTCACAAATTCATAAAATATTCCCGTTTTACAAAAAGAATCATCAATTCAAAAAATGTTAGCGGTTTCAAAAAAAATCAGAATTTTCAAAAAATGTTTATGTTTTTCAAATTTTGTTCGAAATTCAAAAAATGTTCATGGTTTTCATAATTTGTTCGGAATTTCAATAATGTTCCCTTTCCCAAAAAATACACAAATTCAAAAAATGTTTGTATATCCAAAAACTTAAATTTTTGTTTTTCTTTTTTGAAAAATGTTCGGATTTCAAAAATTGTTCACGTTTTTAATTTTTTGTTTGTGTTATGTTTTTCTCCTTTTTCCTAAAAAAGTGTCTGGTGATTCTAAATTTGTTCATGTTTTGAAAAAATGTTCGTACTTGTCGAAAAGTGTTCGCCATTTGTAAATAATGTTCAGGACTTTTAAAATTGTTCACGGTTGCTTTACGTTTTTTTGAAATATGTTCAAAAATTATAAATTTTGGTCAAGTTGAAAATAAATATTTTCCTTTGCAAAAATAGGAATCTCAAAATTGTTCATAATTTCCAAGAAACGGTGAAAAAAATGAATAAATGTTTCAAATCTGCTTCCATTGTCTTTCTTTTAAGATCATCCGACTCCATTGTTTGTTCTTAAACGTGTGTTCTAAGCATTTGTTGACTGCCGTCGTGAGCACTAGTGGCTAGCTGGATGCAGGTAAAAGTGCCTGATCGCTTGTTCGAGTCCCACAGAAACCTCTTTTTCTTGGGGGTTTTGCGTCGTGCTGTATTGCGTTCAACTTCGGTTGTACTGGGCCGGCCCAGTCATCGATCCCTGTGCGGCGCGCGCTCCATTTGCCGCAATATGCGGCGTATAGGAGGTCCCCCCGTGTGCGTCTAGTAGCGATGGCTTCGCTGAAGATTTCCTCCGTGGCGGAGTGAGGTGGGCCAGCCCATGTACGCGCATCCACTGTTTGTTCTTTTTTTCAGTCGCTTTTCTGCTGCTCTGGTTTTTCCCTTGTCTTCCAGGTTTGTGTTTCAGTTTTTTCTTTCTCTATTTCAGATTTATTTATCTTATGATTTTTTTATTATGGTTTCTTATTTCTGTTTATTTATTTTTCTTCTCTTTTTTGTGTATAATACAAAAAGTTCACCATGTCTTACAAAATGTTCATCTTATATATAAGGAAATGTTCAATGTATATTAACAAAATGTTCAACGTATTTTAAAAATTGTTCAGCATATGTCACAAAAATTTGGTTGATGTTTTTTCAAAAGATGTTGATTTTCTTATTAAAAAAAAGACATGCCACTCTACCTAGGACTTTAACGAAATCACAAGTTGACGAGCGCTTCTGCCAATGGTTAGTTGGGAAACGCTCCGCGCGCGACAAGTGTCACGTGCATAGCGCTCCTGAGACTTTTCCGGGGTGCTCTCCACGCGACACTTGTCGGGCGGAGGGGCACTCCCGTGATTTCTGGTTTCTGGTTCTCCTTTTTGGTTTTTCCTTTTTTTCTCTTTAGTCCTTGAACTTTTAGTGTTTTCTAATACACTTTTGATTTGTTTTTAAGATCTGTTTCTCTCTCGCATCGCCGACCCGTCGCCGCCGACTACACTTTCGTTGTTGTCCTCGCTGCGCATCGCCGCTGCCGCTCTTATCGTTTTCTTACGGCGGCTCTTCTTTATCGTCCACGGCGCTTCGCCGTTCGCACCATCGTTGTTGCCTACCGCCTGAGTACCGGCTGCATTCATTGGTTCCCTGTTTCCTTTTTGTTTCCCTTTATGTCCCCATTATATTTTGGGACAATGGATATTTATGGGGTGATTATGGGTGGGGGCTTCCAATACTATCAAATGTCAATTTTCAACTCGGTTTGTGCAATTAGTTCTTAATAATCAGAGCGGAATTGTAATCACATGAACGGAAGAAAGACTGTGCGGCGAATCCTATTGGACTGGACGCCTGTGTGCATCCAGTAGCGATGGCTTCGCTGAAGATTTCCTCCCTGACGGAGTGAGGTGGGCCAGCCCATGTACGCGCATCCACTGCTTGTTCTTTTTTCAGTCGCTTTCTGCTGATCTGGTTTTTCCCTTGTCTTCCAGTTTTGTGTTTCAAGTTTTTTCTTTCTCTATTTCAGATTTATTTATCTTATGATTTTTTATTATGGTTTCTTATTTCTGTTTATTTATTTTTGTTCTCTTTTTTGTGTATAATACAAAGAGTTCACCATGACTTACAA